AAAAAAAAAAAATGCTAAACTACATCAATTTACAAGAAATTATTTTTAAACAATTAAGGCACCGACGAATGCAGTTAAGCACAGAATACCGCTACGGAACACTTCGAAGAAGCGGAACTGTCAATGTCACTCATGGTAAACACGTGTCGCAGCCTGTTGAGAAGTTCGTCGCGATTGATTGAACTCGAATGCGGCATATGATGTATGTTGATATAATTAACATGTTTTCGCGGTTATATATCGCTATTTATGTCGCTATTATCGTTACAAATTCTTTTTATATCCCGATGCGCGATGGGAATTTTTCATCGATCGATTATCTGACAAATTTTTGCCCGAGGGCACCGTAATTAAGGAGCATCATAACAGTGCTCCAATATTTATTCGCATATCGTTATGAATATATTGCATATAAATGTATAGCAGCAAGTACCGCGAAACAAGCAGCTGCGAATACTCGATTTACTTGTTATCGCAAAATAAGCAGATTGACACGTAAACCTCGATTAAAATTCAATTTCGCCGACGATTACGTCAGTCCAAACAAAATATTTTGCGGAAATATTTTCTCACGGCAATTTGTTATCGTGTCTTATCAAGAATCCTGTTTAATGCTTGTAATGCAAATCTTTTATTTGATATGAAAATGATATATAGCGATAAATTACCGAAAAAAGTGTACCTTTACAAAAATGATAAGACATGCTTTATTCTTAGTCGCTGTGTACTTAAAAATTTGATGCAGCACTTTTCTGAGAAGCGAAAAATAATCGTCTCGATTTACACTCTTGAAGGAGACAATGCTCTTTCGAAAGAATAATAGTGTTTCGGAAGGATAAAATGTCACACGGTAAGACAAAAGAACGTCAAAATACGATAAGAATAGTGAACAACTTGTGGTAACAGAATCGAATGTTGCAAAGCACAGGGTGATAAAGATGTTTGCTGTTATTACACTGCTAAGCAATTTCTGCTTGGGAGGAAACTGATCCGTCAGGATCGAATGATGATGCTCCGCGATCGCATCAAACGCACGCGTAAGCGCGTTAATGCACACGTCGGAGAATTCAGCATGCGAGAGCGCGCAAGATCCGTAAAAGAGAAAGGTATACGTACCGATTTCGTATTGTTTAAGCGCCAACAGCTGCCAGCATTATGACGACGCGGCCACAAGCACCTGGAACACGCAAATTGATTCGCAAATTATTGTAATTGCCGAGAGATCATAATGGAAGTATTCTGCGGATATTTTCTGTACGCAGACTTAACTTTGTACGTCTTCTTTTGTATGTTATGGAAACTCGTGGGAAAAACACTTCGAAAGACGCACGCAAACACACGGTGGTAATAACTCTGGTCTTTAAAAAGTACAGTCTGCCGATATAATTGTGAAATCGTGAGGATAAGTACCGTATCACCGCGAATAACAGGAATTTACGCCATAACAACACTTTACATTTCGATAAACTATCACGAACAACGAATGAATCAATCCGGTGATTGTTGATCTTTGTATTTTGAACGCAAACCAGCGAAAATTCCGTCGATTTTCATGCGTTTCTTGCCTCGAACATTTTATATTATATTTATTCATATTTGTAAGGAAATTTGAAATATCAAACGTAATGTTAAGTAAATTTTACATAAAAAATCACTATGATACGGCAATAGCCGTGGACTATAAGAGAAATTGTAAGCTTAAATACTATAGCCATTATGTGAAAAACAGTAAAAATTTTTATAATTTCTTTATGATCCGCGGCTACTATCATACATACTAATTTTTTATATAAAATTTTCTCCATACATGTAGACATCTATGTTGCATCGATAAACCTTATTTTATTCTTACATCCTACAGTTGCGATCTTATCGCACGTCAGATTGAAAGATCAAGTATCATAAAACTAAAGGTAACTTTTTTTCAATTGAATAATCTTTTATATATGCTTGACATTGCTTAATATTTTCCGCGAATATTTTATTGCTATGTTTTTCGTAAAAAAATATCTCTGTCGATTGTGTTAGCAGCATCACGATTTCACAATTTGTTACATTTGAACTCTCACGAGTCAACGACCGGCTCGTATATCCTGATAATTGCCAGCGCAATCTCTCGCACGCGAGTAGTGCCTGTCAATCGCATATTGCGCTTGAATGAGAAGCTGGTATGATGGACTCATTTCCGTTCGCATGCGAGACGATTGATACTCTTTACCGCGTGATCGTATTTTCAGAAGGACAGAAGCAAAACAAAAGAAAAAAAAGAAAGGCTCAAATTGCTCGAGAGAATTTATGGCGTTATTCTAAAAATAACGTGACTTCTCTTACTGCCAATTAATATGTTTACTAAAATACATAATTTATCACAATTTTCTGGTTATTTTCACAACTCAGAAAATTAGTTCTCACTTATTGGTGAAAATATCGCTTCGCAAAGTATCGATTCTCTCAATTTTTCAGCAAGACGCACTAATTACAAGATCTTAAAAAACTACTTAAATATACAAAAATAAAGAAATATCTACTTTATAAAAATTGTCAAGAGCAAAAATCAATTTATATCGCACAATTATAATACTGAAGTTATGCTGTATTTTCTTGAACGCCAAGTTCATGCAAATATATAAAGAGCGCAATATGCACAGAAATCGTGTCGCAAATGCGATGATTGATACCAGGATGCCGAGGCAGACGTGAGAGCACGCGGTGCTGATATAAAAAGCGCGAGTCGTCGATTAATTCGCCGCCTCGAAACGCATGTTAAGTAAATACGTCGACCACCGTGCGGCAATTAAATACTCGTTATCGATCGCGCGCAGTCGACGCAGCACGCGGGAGTGCATTAATCGGAAAGTAAGACAGGAACCACGGAGAAGAAAGAGTTAATTTTCTTTCGCGTCCCACTTACGTAAAATCGAATTAACGCGACGCTTCGGGAATACAAGCAAAAGACTCCGAAAAAGTGTGAAAGCGTCGCGCCCATCGATCGGCGCGATTGATCGATGGCTTTCGGGGCGTTCTTTTCGTTCCTTCGGACACAAGTTTCTTCTTTTTTTTAAATCGTAATGAGTAACGATCTACATTTAAAAAAAAAAACCAAAGAAGATCCATTCGGTTAATGCTGATTAGCGCGCTAATCAACGTCGGAGAAATCGATTGTCAAAGAAAAAATCTGGCTCACGTAGCACTTGTACCGGTGATGAGAAATGCAAGAGAGAAATTACACACACATCCTCCTCCCGTTAAGCGCGCGAAGCGGATATTGTGTTCCTGACGCCCGTGGAGAATGAGGGAAATTGATTAAATTGTGTTTTAAGGCTGCAATGCAGGAAAGTTCAGGTATTAAGCCACGTATAAGATGCATTAATATTCATATGTCAGTTTCGTCACCTCCGGGCATAGTCTCTGCGACGGTGACGGCAGGTGACAGGTGGTTTTGCGATTTCTTACAATATGTCGCACCGGTAAAAGCCGCCAGCCGAGAATCCGCGCCCTTTTACATGCGCCGAAGGTGACTTGCTATAGCGTTCTCGTCGTCGTGCTACGCAATTTAGTGCAGTTTAATCTTGTCGCGTCCCTTGTAATTTCCGTACTTTGACTTTTCAACGATATATTTACATAATAATATTCTATTTAAAATGGACGTGAATATAAACACAACGAAAGTATAAGATAGATTTATGATAGAAATACATACGCTCTTCCTTTCTTTCACGTTGTTTCTGATTGATTACTCTTCTTATCATTTGATTAATTCTGCTAATTTTTATAAACTTTGATATATGGTTGTTGAAAATGTGCTCATATGCCTTATCTATTTTCTATAAAATAAGAGGAATATTGTAAAACTAGTCAAACACACAATTTTTTATCAGAGTGTACAAATTTCTTAATTAAAAAATATAATTGATAATATTACTCAATTTTAATGATTATCAGTTTCGAAATTTATTAATCGAATGTAAAAGAAATAAAAATATTTAAATTCAGTAAATTCCACTGCTAATTAAATATTTAAAACAATTATTTAAATAAATGTCAATCCCAATTCTTACATTTATTAACTCTTCTACTGCCAAAAATTTGTATAATGACTCACTAAAAATTTCCACTGTTGCGTAAACATCAAAGTGATTCATCGTTAAGTTATTGGAGAAATTTCAGTAGTCAAACAGACTCTTTTAGCCGACATAATTTGTAAAAATATGCTAATTTATTATTATAGATTACGTTATATTACAGAGAGTATCACATATGCGATAAAATAATGTATTTAAGTTTTATGTGTAAGAAAACAATATTCTTGAAATAAAATAGCACTTTGTACAGTGGCGCTTTTTATTTGGCTTCGTCATTGCGAGAAAGTGAATGAGGAAGAGAAGGATGCGCAGTGTGTGAGTGATAATTGACTTGGCATCATTTATCGTTGAAACAAGACATTTATTGATGATCGTGCAAGCTCGACGATTTCTTAACAGAAATGTCAATTGATATTGCGTCGAGAAAAAGGTTCTTAAACATAACAAGTTAACATCTATATAATAGTCGCTATACTTTACGAGAAAATAGTCATCTCAGGTACAAAAATGGAACCCTATCACAGACGTCACTTAAAGCTTTATCACCTATGTACAATACAAGACAGAATATAAACCCCGTTGCGAAGTTAACGCGCGAAGCGTGTCTCGAAATTCTCAACGAGGCATCGCGGAAGTTTCAACAGTTTGGAAGACAGTGATTCGTCGTTTTCCTCGTTGCGGCGTCGTCGGCGTCCAGATAATCGTCCATTACGATCACACCTCGATCGTCCGCATCCCAGGACGTTCATTATCGACAGCGGGTGTGCTTAATCACCAGGGTCTCCAGACCGCGTTGGCGGATTCCGAGGACTCGCCGGAGGAGCTCGCAACACTGACAGGGCTCTGCGGCGGGGTGTACACGTTCTGTGGCAGCGGGCTCGTCTGGTTCGCCGGCACCGTCTTCGTCGCTGACGCCGTCGCCGTCGTGGACGCCTGCTTGGCGCCGGTCGGACCCTCCAGTCGTCGAAGACAACCGCCGAGATGTCGCATCAGCTGAGCGCCGGCGGCTGGATGCACCGCCGCGGCGACCGGCGTCGACAGGAAGGTCGACACCTCCTGAGCGCACTGGGTGAAGCCGTCGCGGAAACGATCGGCGTAGCTGTTCTCCGGCGTCAGAGTGAGCCGTCGGGCGGCGCGCAGCGTGTGAAGATGACGCACCGTGAGCTCGAGGATGTCGGCCTTCTCCAGCTTCGCCACGTTCTCGCCCTCGGCCTGCAGAGCGGTCACCATCAGGTCCTTCAGCTCGTCCAGGCAACGATTAATACGGGCGCGCCGCTTGCGCTCCAGCATCGGCTTCATCACCTTGCGATATTGATAGGTGCGTGACACCGGCTCCTCGTATTCCATGCCGCTGACAGGCGTGTAGCTCGTGTGCGGCGACATGACGATCGGACACACTTGGTCGTGTTTATATATCACTGGTCACAAAACAAGGCGCGAAAGTCCAGTGAGGATGGCAGACGTCTGTCTGACGTTGCGCGTCCCGGATCAAGGCTCCAGGCGGGGGGGAGGGAATCCGCGATGATTTTCACGGATACCGTCGAAGGCTTATCGAACGAATGTACGGATCGGAAAACGATTTCGTCGTGACTCTACTACTGTGTATACTCGGAGTGCCGAGAATGCGTCTGAGTCCGTACGTATTCGTGATGGTTCTGAGCGCTGGTGGGGCACAACCCGTTATTTATATGCCATCGTCGTGCCCCACCATATCCGGACGACAGAGGGGTACGAGAGGCACGGTGTGCCGAACCCTGCAGCCCGCGTGCACATAAGCCAAGCCAGCCAGCCAGCAGCCGTGGCGTATCGTGGGAAGCTCGCGAGCCGGAGCGTTCCCACAGATCAGGGGGCCTGTTGGAGCCTCGCACAGGTTCTGTGCCGCTTGACGCCTGCCGGCACCAGAGAGGGGGGCCCTCCTTGCGAGTGGAGAACGCGCGGGAGGGGACACACCTCACTCACCGAGAGCACACCTGCACGAGCTGCTCTGGAGAAACAGCGAGGAGGGGCGAGGGGGGACACCGGTCGAGAGAGGCGAGAAGAGGAGAGCACACGCCACGACGCGCGACCAGCACGAGGACGACTCGCGCGATCCGTCGCGCGGTAGAGCGACTCGCGCGAGCATGATCGCGCCGGAGGTACAGATTATCGTCAATGAATCTATAAAGATAGTCGCTTCTCGAGAAAGCGTTGTCAGCCAGATTCAAATGTAATGAGAGGACAAAAATGTGTCCGAAAATTTTCAGATGCAACGTTATGTTACTTGTCGTCCGTTTGTTTGCAATTTTAGTTAGCAATTGCATTCTGCTATAAATATCGTACATAAATGAAGACAATTATATATCTTACAAAAATTTTTAACCCTCCATAGATTAGTATGCGATTGATTATTTTATATATATAGTTCAATTAAATCGGGAGGTAAAAATTTACGTTGTTTTAGAAATTGAAAGAAAAACTTGGTTTCAAATAAATAGCTGCTAAAAATTTCCACCGTTTAATTAAAACACTGACTGAGATAACATTATTTTTATAATCAACATATCTAAGGAAAATCTAGAAAAATCTAAGCACTGATTTCGGTTCTCGTACATTCACGCTCGAGGCGCGACACTTGTTGATTTACCGGATTGCCACCGACGTGATACACGTGTCGGCAACGTTCCCAGCGTTTCGTCCGAGTGAATCACGTTTTGGCGGGAAATGCCAAGTCGCGGCTGGACCAGTTCCCTCTCGAAACGTTTCTCTTCACGTGGAACAATAGAAATAAATATCACATACGCTACATTTGTGCCGTCACGATTATTCAATCGGACTATTATCGTATTATCACATTTCGCGCGTCGTCACGATTCCGCACGTAACGTTGTAAACGTGGAAATTTATGTGGCGAGAAATTTGTAAACAGTTTTAACATAAAATTAATTCAATGGCTCAAATCTCTCGCATATAGAGTTATGTGAATGGACGATTCTGGCTATAAATACTTTACGACTCTACCACGCGCGGGAGAAAAAAATTCTCTGGCGTCCTTTATCTACCATCCAGTTAGGCAACTTTTCGATTCTGCGACGGAAGGACATTCCGCGAACATCCTCCCGTCCACATATCCAGTTCCCTGAATATTCGAATATAATTAACCTACGATCTCTTCCTGCTTAAAAGATTTGCATAGTTTGGGAGAATGTTGCATATTCCGTTCGACATTAGCGCGACGCTAGAGGGGTCCACCTCTCTCTCTCTCGAGAGAGAGGGTTTCCGACAACCGGTTCCAGGACGTGCAATCCACGGGCGCGGGGCTCCCGGGAGCCGATGTTTTGAATTATAAACGTACGATCTTAATGATCCGCCCATTCTCGGACCCCGGACGGGCTCCGCTTGCGGGACTTAACGAGGTGTTTAGCCCTTTTGGAAGCCGATACCCCAAACAAGGGTACCCCGAGTGGGCCGGCCAAGTATTTACGAGTCTTCGGATCTAAACGCAAGCAAAAGAGCGGCTAGCCGTCTCGCAGGCGATCCGGATATCGTTGCGACGTGTCGTCTTCGTTAAAGGAATCCGCTCCCTCGGCGTACACGGCCGCCACTTAATTGCCGATCTGTCTGAGATTCCGGCCGTGGCGATCGCTACTAGCGGAATCTCGTCGAGCCGGGGAATCTTCGAGGAGACTATCGAAAAGATCCTCGATCGAGAGAGGTTCGCCGTAATAATTATGTCTCTGTAAGAATCTCCGGCGGGAGAAGATAAGTCTGTCGTCGATCCTGTTGGAGCAAACCGTTACTTGCCACTCCTCGTAAAGAGATAGCGCGAGTCTGTAATATTTTAGGATCGCCCTGTCGCGGTAACAAAGCCAGTTGGAGATATCATCGAGTATAATTCTCGCCCGCGCAGTATTTTACAGCGAGAAGCCACGTGGAAAAGCGCTTTAACGAGCGCTATAATTCCGTTATCCTTCGAAAATAAGATTCCCAATCGTCCTACGTAATTTTCACCTGCGCAATGCGAACGAGCGTTATAATTCCGTTATCCTTCGAATAGAATCCTCAATTTTCTTACGTCACTTCCAGCTGATTATCTTCATCTCGTTCGCACACTGATTTACACTGATCGAGGCACTTATTTCTCGTCGACGTTTCTCTTAACTGTGACACACGGCGGTGTCGTGCTTGAATAAGATAGCCTCTAAGAACGCTCGCGCGATATACGTATTTATTCATTCTGGCAACGTGCCGGGCCGTTAGAGATGCCCGAATAATTTCGTCAGTCTATTCTATGTGTCACGTATTTATTATTAATGCTTTCAGCCGCGCTTGCCGAGCACGACCCGTATCGCGAATTGCGTATCTCCTCGCTCATAGATACATGGGGCATCTCTCTCTCCTTCGTCATACCTGCTCATTTATCAATATCAATCTACCCCCCTTCTCCGTGATTTACACTTTTTGCGCGGCGAGTGCGTTCTCGGCGTACGTCGGACGGGCAAAAATAAGGCATCAGCGACCGCGCGCCGGTAGAAGACCGGTAGGATAATTACACTGATTGGTCATACGAGCCGGATGTGGCCGTACGCGCGCGTACCGCCTGTTAAAGCGCCGACGAAACGAGCCTTATCCGCGCCGATGCGGCGCTACAGCCGGGACACTGGGTACGTATTATTGCTCCGCGTTAACAACTCGTTATGCCCGCGGAGCCGCTCCGTCGGCAGCGAATAAAATGTTGATATTCCCGCAGCGGCGATGGCGACGGCCGACGACGGCGAGCGCGTTTCTTTACGTGATTCCCGACGAGAAGTCGACGATGAAGTTCGTAATTCGTTTCTGGGTACGATGATGGATTTTTTTGCGCGCTCACCGACCGGCCCGCAGCAAATCGCGCGCTTCCTCGTTCGCCGAGGAAGATCGAGGAAGTCTTAACCTCGGGGGAGAACCGCGGAGATTTACCGCGATTCGCCACGCGTTTAATGCCGCGCGTTAACGTTACACGCAATCGTTAACTCGACATTGTCGAGTGCAATAAGTTCGTCGGACGTATTAATTAACTGCGAGTTGGTTTAATTGCAGAGTTCCCGAAAAGTCTTTTGAACATTCAAGAGGCTCAACATCCGGCAGACATTTAACGAATTCGATGCATAATAATGACTGAAGTATTTGCACGAGCAACAAATGATTGTTATGATAAAAATATAAATCAATAAATTTATTTTGTTAAATTTATTCGACTGTGAAAATAGATTGTGACGGAATTATATTATGATGATTTTTAAAATCTTTTTTACGATAATAATATCTATTAACGCAAAATGTTGTAAAACATATATTAATAAAAAGACGTAAAAAACAAAACGTATTTATAAAACCAGAGCTACGTGCGTCATCGCGTGTTAAATAATCATGCTACAATACATTGCAATCCTGGCACAAATAATAGCAGCAAGCAGCTTTTATTCAAGAAGGAACCCCGATTGCCCCTTCGGCGGAAATACAACAAAACGACTGCGTAATAAATGTACAAGATGAAACAATAATCGGTACACGGCTTCGCCTCGTGAAAAATAAAAAACATAGAACAATATTCCAGGAAATAAGCCGAGCCGGCGGGCGCGTTTCGATATCGCGGGCGTGTAATTTATTATCAATCCGTATCAGTGAAGCAACGTGAACTATCACGGCCGACACCTTTCCCTCCGTCTCTCCCTGCTCCCCTAACCGCCGTGAAGCGATGCAGCGCGAATAAGCAATACATTCTCCCCGGGCTAAAACTACAATCCCCATCCTCAATCCCCGCTACTCTCAACAGCAATATTTACCGGATCCCGGCAGCCTCTTCGGCGAATTTCGCACGGCGCTCCTCGGCCTCCTCGTGCGCGCCCAAGCCACCACCGTGCTCCTCCTCGGCGACCCCGTCCGTCGGCGCGCAATAAGGTGCGAGTTTAGATCGCGTTCGACGTTAATTCGCGGCGCGCCGGTACACGAAACACTTCCGCAGCCAGGTCTCTCCTTCCTCCTCTCTCGCCCCGTAAAGGCGGTCGTTGAGTCTCCTCGCTCCCCCATCCATCGTTTCCCCTAGCTTCCCCCTCCGCCCCTCTCGACGCTCATCCACCGTGCTCGCTCCATCCTCCTCGCCCGCGTCTCGTCCGTCTCTCTCGCTCGTTCTCTTCCCTCATGCAGAATGGGTAGCCCCCTCGCCTCCGAAATTCTTCCGGTTGTATATACTCGTGGCTCGTGCTACGGAACGTGGGAATGTTCTCAGGCCTGGAAGCCGAGACCCCACCACGCGAAAAACACGCGTTGCAACGGACCGCGTGCGGTGCGCGCAGCGATGGGATCGATACGGGTGCAAAGTCGTGCGGGAAAATGCAGGAGCTCCGACCGAGCTAGCGATCGAAGGACGAGCAGCCGTTTGAAATAAAGCTGAATTCAATTTCACGAGATTTTAATTTCCGCATTCGGAATAAAAAGGATGATGCGTGACGTATTTTATTTAGTCTGCCATCGGTTCGACAGTCCATCATTGCAATTTTATTATTTATCACTTTCCTCAAAACATTCCGCGACTTAAATTTTTCGTCCGTAATTTTCAAATCTTGGAAATTGTTTATATTTATTTCTTCAAAATATAAATAACGGAGAGAGAGAGAGAGAGAGAAAAAAAGCGCGAATTTCGCGAATTCCAGCACGATTCTATCCCATCGCTAGTTCGGCGGACACGAGCGTGGCGCGTTGCGTGCGTATGCGAGACGTTTACACACGCTCGGGATGCGGCGTGTGAGCGCGAGCGCAAACGCTCCTCTTCCTCGCTGTCCGCATTGTGCGCGGCCACGGACTGCGAGTTCCCTTTGTGAGAGAAGAGGAGGCAACCAGCCGGTAATGTAACCTTAGCGCTGCCCCATCGTGCGCGTTGTGCACATAATGCG